ATCCCAATACACCAAGATTGTGGGTTGAGTCCTTCCTTGGTCAGGGCACATACAAGAGGCAACCAATGAATGCATAAATAAATGGAACAACAAATCAGTCTCCCTCTCCCTCTCCCTCTCCCTCTCTCTCTGTCATTAATAAATTTTTAAAATTTTAAAATTTTTAGCCCTGGCTGTTTTGTTTAGTGGATTGAGCGCTGGCCTGTGAACCAAAGTATTGCCGGTTTGATTCCCAGTCAGGGTACATGCCTGGGTTGCAGGCCAAGTCCCCAGTTGAGGGGTGTGAGAGGCAAATATACACTGATGTTTCTCTCCCTCTCTTCTCCCTTCCTCCACCTCTCTCTAAAAATAAATAAATAAAATTTTAATTAAAAATTTTTAGGTATGGAATAATGTGTAAGGTAATCAATCAGTTTGATACTGAAAAAATTTCTTAACTATTATGTACCTAATATTTACTTAAATATGTTCACACTGTTAATACTCTGTTGAGATTTTCACCTCAGAGTATAAATAACACATATAGAATGCTGTTGTTTTCTATTAATTTTCAGTATTATATAGAGTTTTTTAAAGTATTCTAGAAAAGATAGAACATACAGGTGATTCTAACCTGTTCAGAACTTTTTAAAGGTCTCTTTGTTATACTAGAGCATAAGAAATAGCAGGATGTAAGCCAAGAATAAATCTTCAGGCAAAGTTCAATGGAATACCAGGTTTAGAGAAGTAAGGCAAGATCAGGGAAATGTGAGGATTCCAAAGATTAGGTGGGAAAAGGTCCATGACTCATTCAGAAGCTCAGATTATTTCAAAATTATGCATTTCCTTTAACTCATTGACTTCACATTTGGAATTGTATCTTCAGAATATTACAAACTTCCACATTTTAACTACCAGATTGCCACTGGTTACACTGAGAAGTTGGAAATAACCTAGATGCCTAACTATAGCAACTTGGCTAAATAAATTACATTGTAGCTATAAAATGAAATTCTAACCAGGTTTGTAAATAATGTAGCAGTGCTTCTCAAACTTTATTCAGCATCAGAATCACTTGGAAGGCTTGTTGAAAACACAGATTGTGGGGCCCCAACTCCAGACTTTCTGCTTCATCGGCTTGGTATAGGGCCCAAGAACTTGCATTTCTACGAATTCCCAGGTTCATACTGATGCTCTTGGTCTGAGGTGCCAAACACTCTTTGAGAGCCACTGACGTAGAGTTATTTTTATTGACTAGGAATATTATTCACAAGGTATTATTAAGTTGAAACAAAGCTGTTTACATTACATTCTTTGTATATACATACAGAAGTTTAGATGGGAAAATATAATCCCCTTGTGATTAAATGTCTTTAGTGGGGATTGCATTATAGATTCTTATTGTCTTCTATATTTTTCAGTGACAGATTTTTCTGTAATGAGCATAGTATTAATCACTAAAACACAATCAGTCTTTTTAAGAGAGGGAGAGAAATATCATTGTGTGGTTGCCCCTCACACACTCCCAACTGGGGACCTGGCCCACAACCAAGGCACATGCCCTGACTGGGAATTGAACCGGGCACCTTTTAATTTGCAGGCTAGCTCTCAATCCACTGAGCCACACCAGCTGGAGCTCAAACATTTTAAATAATAGGATCATGAAGTCCTGACCAATAGCACTAACACACCGGAAACATCACAGTAGACTTGATCCTAGACCCCCTCTACTTTTTAACTTTGTCTTGTTAGAATTGTATCCTCAGAAGCAATCACAGAGAAACAGTGATGGGCCCATAGATACAGCCTGTTCCTGATGGGAAGGAAAATAGAAGAGGCTGGCATGCTACGAAGTGCTTCAGCATTTTTTCTTACTTCATTTTAGTAGTGCCACACAGGCTTCTTCTGGGGATATTTGAAGAAAAACTGGGTGGAACCCAAAGGGCGACCTGCCAGAAGCTTGAAGCATCTGGATTGGCGCGCTCTTTGTTTCCTGATGCAGGGCAGATCCATTTCCCAGGGTATCAGATTAAGGCGTCTCCTTTCTGGAAAAAAGATTTCATGGTTTAAATTCCCGTTCACTTTTGTGTCTGTGGCACTCTGCTGTCTCCTTTCCAGCGTGCAGCCTCAGGGGTCATGATGTCCCTTCCCTGCTGATATCAGCGTGCCAACCGTGGTGTCATGCTCACCAAGCACAGAGCTGCCATTCAGCTTCCAGTCTGGGGTCAGGAAGCAAAAGAGCTTCTAAGTTCCTACAAACCTTGACAGATCTCTCTCAAGCCTTGCATGAGACCAGTTTTCAGGGCAAGGCGGGTGAGGGCAAGGAGGCTAGAGAAGACAGGATAAATGTCAAGGGTGAATGTGTAACAGGAGCAGAGAGAGCAAACAGCTTCATCACCACTGTTCAAAAAGGAGGGGTGGGTGACAGTGCAGAGAAGTACTCCACAGACTTTTCAATGGAACACTTATTTGGTTAACACTGGTCGCCCTCTTCCATGTCCTTGCACTACTGTGGTTGATAAACTAGGAGGTAGTCGCATCATGTATCTTGTTTAGAGCAAGGGTTCTTCATGAATGTCTAACAGAATGCCAGTGTGTGAGATGTCAGTAAAAACAAATCCCATAGGAAACTCACAATGGATTCTATGTTTTTTGTTCTTTAAATGATTCAAAATAATAAAATTATGTTCTGATTTAAGCTATTGTTAAAAGAAAGAGACATTATTTCTATACTGACTTTGAAGTAAGTGACATTATTTGTTGGAAAATTTTGTTCCATAATGTGTTGCTTTCCACCACTCTGCATGTGAATAAATGTGGTAGAGTACTGTTTGAGTTTAAGATAAAATTACTAGCTTTTGCAAGTTTGAAAACAGCTGGAAATGTAGATACTGGTATATTATGTAACTATTTATAACTGTTTATAATACAACTTCTTATCTCTCACTTTCTGGTGTTATAACATGAATTCAGTATGTGAATCTGTTTAGGACCCTATAAAAAGGAAGTTAAGTTACTTGAAATTCTCACCTATTGCTTGAATGCCAAGAGCAATGTTATAATTAGTCAATTAATTTACCAAAAGTGTATTGAATACCTACTCTGTGATAGACACTGTTCTGGGACACATTAGTGATGCCTCTCTGGAAGTTTATATCCAAGACTGGGAAGAGAATAAATTGTTAAACAACTACAAATCTAACATGTCAGGTAGTAATGAGCACTAAGAACAAAAATAAGGCAGGGCCATTACAAGGACTTTGTATTTTGTGTAAAATGGGAAGTCTTTGGGTGGGGGTGAAGAGAACCACCCTGGCTGCTGGGTAGAGAGTTGCTGCAGGAGGCCAAGTATCCACTGAATTATCACCCCTCCTCCAAAGCTGTAATTCACTGAGGAATGTTTGGTGCCAGCAGACCTGGGGACGTGATCTTACACAGTTGATTCTTACCTTTCCTGCTCTTGGTGTAAAACTAGTTTCTAAAATAAAATTTTCATCTCTAAACTATTCCTTAAAGAAGTGTCTTTCTGGAAAGTTGCTTTTAGATGCATTCGTGCTAAATGGGAGTTTATCTAAAGTCTATATTTTTTAAACAACTTGCTTTTATACTACAGTTGATGAACAACATAGGTTTGAACATCACAGGTCCACTTCTATGGAGATTTTTTCAATAAATTCTGTAATCGTATTTTTTCTTCCTTATGCTTTTCTTTTTTTGTTAGTTTTCTCAGTTTTAATCACTATATAAATACAATAGTATTCCAGGTATTTCAGGATTTTACTCTAGATGTTTGCTTATTTTTTCTTAAGTTTTGAGTTACTAGATCTTTGTTAGTAATAGTACAAATCAGTTCCTCAAATGAAAGTGTAAGACCCCCAGGGAAGATAATGTTAATGATAAAGGAGCAGTCCATGATATTCTGAAGATATTTTAGGCCATTAACCTTTTACAAGACTAATGCTATTGTGGGCAAATACTAACCCTGTATTATAGTCAGGGAAATCAAGCCATGATTACTAAGTGTGTTGCCCAAGGCCAATTATGAGCCATGAGAAGAGCAGAGCTTCAACTTCAGACTGACGCTTTTACTTAAATAAACTCTAAACAGTTCTTCAGGAGACTGAGATAACTGTTCATATTTCCTAATCTTAGAACTTCAACAAGTGAAGAAAAAGCAAGGAATATTGAATATGCCCACATAAAAACATGCTGTGACATTTTGGCAATATTGCATTAGACTTACTATAAATTGACCAGCCTTGATATTGATCTATATGTCTTTATATATCATAAAAATATCATACTCTATCAGGTGAATTTATCTCTGATAAATGCAAAAGGGTATTATTTTATGGAAGACAATGGCAACTCTTTCCCATGACGCTTATATAAAAACATTTAGAATTGGCTCTATTCATACTGTTTATATATGTCACATTGGAATACAGAGTTTCATGTTCTTTTTAACAGCCTCTGTAATGTTTCTGGTGAAAATTAGAAAAAAGCTAATGCATATTAAATGCTGCTACATTTTAGGTGCTACTGGAGGCTCAGTACTTGTGACCTTATTCAGGTTTTATAAAAATTCTATATTGTAACTAGTAACCTCATCTCACTGATGCAGAATCTTTCATCAGAAAGATCCCGTGGACTCCAGGAACACTGGTCTTGTTGTCCATTTCTGAATAAGCCAAGTTTGATTCCACTTCAAGGCCTTTAAACTTGCTATTCCTTCTGCCTGGAATGCTCTTCCCCCGAGATCTTTGCATGGCTGCCTTCACCCCAACAGTCAGTTCTCTGCTCGTGACTCAATTTATACATCTGCATTCAAACAGGCAGCACATCTGTTCCAGGAGTAATGGAGTAGCTCTTCCCCCAGTGTGACCAGGGGCTAAAACCTCTTGTGATTGTGTCACTTACAGATAACAAGAGGTGTGAATCAAACCAGAAGGATACGGGGCATACAATCCGGGGTTTGCACACAGTCCTATATACTCATGGTGTTTTCTTTTCCTTTATAGGTTATTTTCAGAGCTTTGTCGCCACCATATGATATGGAGAACCCTTACAGTGTCAAAGCGCAAGAGCAACTGAAGATCACCAACCTTCGTGTGCAGCTGCTAAAACAGCAGTCTTGTCCCTGTCAGAGAAATGACCTGAATGCAAAGCCTCGGCACTTTACACACTATGCAATCTATGATTTCATTGTCAAGGGCAGCTGCTTCTGTAATGGCCATGCTGATCAATGCGTACCTGTTGATGGCTTCAGGCCTGTCAAGGGCCCAGGAACATTCCACGTGGTATGTAAAACAAGTTCTCATCAATGGAAACCAAATCACGTTACCTCCAGCTTTGAGCATTGGTAGTCTAAGTTCCCTTCAGGTTGGTCCATGTTCGCATAGTGCTCTTATTTCTTCCTCTTCTGCTGATTCACTTCTCCAACTCCATGCCCATCCTATAAAGTATGTATTGACTTGTTTTTTAATCTTCAATTTTAGCATTATAAATAGTCAATCATGATAACAAGATTCCTTGGACAGCATCCATGCCAGTTTTTAGTACCATGACCTTCAGATATGAAGTGTAAGGTGAGCAGTAGGAGAGGTTGGCATAATCATACTAGTGGCATTATCACACAGAAGCCAGCTTTGACAATAAATGGGGACCATTGTTGAGTGGATTTTATAGTGGAAAAAATAAGAACTTCAGTTTAATGCCTGGTATCTTTTGCTGTTCAGTCAATAGATTGAACAATAATTCTCCTCTGTGAAGAGTAGACTCACCCCATCTCTCCCTTAGCAGAGTTAGGCTCTCTCTCCTCTGGATTCACACATCTCCTTGTGCCTCCTTCAGAACTTTTACTGCCGTGTATGTTCTAGGACAGGGACTGTAATCTAACCTCTGAACCCAGTGTGTTACCTGAGCCAGAAGTAGGCTTTCCGTGGGTGTGTTTGACTGAATAGTGGCAACATAGGAATACAGAAATGAAAAATTACTGTCATTGTTTGATCTCACCTCACTTTCTTCCAACCTACTAGTTTCTAGACACTAATGATCTTTGAACAGATACTGCTTCAAATAAAAATGAGATGATTTGTTATATCTAAGTTAATTGAGTTTGTATATGATTCAAATAGAAATGACCCAGATATTCTTGAGATATGTCAACCTACTGAACTGTAATTTGTGTGAGACAGAGTGCTAGAAATTTCTGCCATATTTAAGTGAATGGAGAACCCATAGGCTACAATGGACGTAATGTAGATCTTCCCCCAAAATTCATATGTTGAAACCCTAATCCCAATGTGATGGTATGTGGAGGTGAGGCCTTTAGGAGGTAATTAGATCATGAGATCATTAAATCCTCATAAATGGGATTAGTGTCCTTATAAGAAGAGGCCAGCTAGCTAGCTAGCTCTCTTTTTGCCATGTAAGGACCCAGTGACAAGTTGATAGTCTACTACCTAGAAGAGATCCTCACCAGAACCTGATGATGCTAATGCCCTGATCTTTGGCTTTTAGCCTCCATAACTGTGAGAAATAAATTTCTGTTGCTCATAAGCCACTCAGTCTATAGTATAGCAGCCTGAACCGAGATGCTGGTCTTTGTTTCTTCAACTGTCTTCTAGAATCCAAGCCTTATAGGGTCACTTCAGGATAGCGTCCTGAGCAAAAGGGCATACACAAGCAGGCCCCTACAACACATCCCAGAGTTGGCCACCTGGGAGTGAATGACCTATGAGACAATCTGAATGGCTCTGATCAACCAAGTTATTTACCAGAGTTCTCATGAGCCTTATAAAACTTTCACGTGTATGCATTTAAAAGCAATAGTTTCTTTATTTTTTTCCAAAAAAGTAAGTCCTCTGATGTAAACTTTCAATGAGATTGCAACACTCTCAAAGGCTAAAGAGAAAATTCTAGACATTTCTATTATATTCTCTGGGTATATGCAACTACACTGTGCTGGGTGAGAACCATTCTCAGTGGGTATCTTGCATCTGCTACTCATCCAACAATAATCCCAGTATTGTCTCCCATGGCTGGGACAAGCTGCAAGCTGAAGACAAACCACATCAGCCCCATGGGCCACCTAAACACTGTGAATGTCTCTCCATATGGATCCCTATATGCTTCAGGAGGCAAGATGGCCAGGCCATGCTCTGGAACCTCAACAAAGGCAAGCACCTTTGCATGCTAGATAATGAGGCTTCATCATCATCCTGTGCTTCAGCCCCAACCACTGCGGGCTCTGTGCTGCTATGGGCTCTAGCACTAAGATCTGGAATTGGACGGGATTTGAAATTCAATGAATTTCAAAAGCAAGAAGTTATCAGCTCCAGCAGCAAGGCAGAGCCACCCCAGTGCACCTCTTTGGCCTGGTCTGCTGATGGCCAGACTCTGCTGGCTATATGAACAGCCTGGTACAGGTGTGGCAGGTGACCATCAGCACCCAATATATTCCAGAGCTTTAGAAATTTTAAAAACTGGCTTTATGACTTAAGAAGAAAATAAATTCTATTAATCCTGCCAAATTCAACAACGGATAATTACACAGACTTACCAGAGATTTTTGCAAGTCTTCAAATACAATTATTTTATATAATCTTCTGCCAGGGAGAAAACTGTTAACTGTGTGCCTACACCCCTGTGTCTGCACCTGCTGGCTGTCTGCTCTATCCTGCCATTACCCCCTGCTCTCTTACTGCCTACCATAGCTCTGCATCCTCCAGCTGCATCCTGTCTGGGATCACTGCCACCTTCCACCCAGGTCTTTTTGCCTTGGCCTTTGCCACAGCCAGCCCCTGGTGAACTCCTGTGGAGATCCCATCCTAGGAGCTACAAAAACATATATGAGAGACAACAACATCAAGACAGTGAGTCTGGAAGGTGGCACCTGTGAGGATGATAATGGAAAGCCTTACCTGCACTCTAGTGTCCAGATTGCCAAAAAAAAATCTGGGCAAAGAACACCTGCCCATTGCTGAAATGGCTGAATTTTTCAAGACATCTACAGAATTAGCCCTAGATGTGAATAGAAGTGTTGGAAAGTGACCAATATGTCACTATGCATATTATTTCTGGAAATCAAGACTTAAGGATTAGAGCCAGATATTTGCAAAGAGGTTTTAAGTTCAGCAGAGAAGTCTTTCTTGCCCAAACCATCCTGGAGAAATTACACACCCACTTCAGGGACACTGGCGTGCAGCTACATGGTTATATATACTATGGCACCAAGACTTATTGCTTTGACTTCACAGGCACTAAGAAGGGTGTTTCAGAAATGTGAGAGCAGCCCTGGCTGGTGTAGCTCAGTGGATTGAGCGTGGGCCTGCGAACCACACGATCGCGGTTCGATGCCCAGTCAGGGCACATGTCTGGGTTGCAGGCCGATTCCCTGCAGGCCAACTCCCAGCAGAGGACTCACGAAAGGCAACCACACATTGATGTTTCTCTCCATCTCTCCTTCCCTTCCCCTCTAAAGATAAATAAATAAAATCTTTAAAAAAAAAAAGAAATGTGAGAGCAAAGAGTTCTTCTGCACACCTGTGCCTGCAAGCTCATAAGAGTAGACACCTCATCTTGAGCAGCGGAAGAAACGGTAGTGAGGGTAAAGAATTTCTCTGCATTCTTTGACATGAACTATCAAGGCTTTGCCAGTTGTGATGGTAACAAGGATGCCTGGGCTATGTCCCACTTCATCCAAGAGCGCATTAATGTTTTTCTCTGCCAATCCTATGCCAAGAACATTTGCTTATACGGTGAGCGTGTGGGAGCCTTCACTGCAGTCTGCACAGACACTGATGAAGCCAAAAGAGTGAAATTACAGTTAAAGGTCTTGCTTGGTCCATCCAATGTGATCCCACCCTCCTCTCAGTCGGAACCAATACTGCCTCAACCATTCTGACTATCCTGGATGTTTGAAAACAGTGATTGCCAGAAGTTAAAGTCGTGGCCAACCTCATCATTAGCATGCATACTCAACTGGTCTCCAGCCTCAAGAAGGACTTCTCCCACAACTGGCAGCACATTCCTACCAGATTGGCATGTTTTGTTTCACGGGGCTACCAAGAGTTCTCCATCTATCTACATGGCAAAGGTCAGCCACATCTCTGTGGCAGGGTCACCTCAGACAATGGGGCTACCTTGCTCATTTAGTTGGATACCAAATGATTTCCCTGGTGAGAAGAAACAGAGACATTCTTCCTTGTCTTCAGCCTCTGCTACTGTGAGATTCACATGGAGGATGGCGGTGGGGGGGTGTGAGTGGATCATTTCTTTTAACCACATCGCTGATTGAACCTGCTTCATAGAAAAGAGCATGTAGGAAAATGGGGCAGAGATATCCATGGCTGAAGTCTGGGACTTTTTGGCTCTAAACCAAACTCTTCCTTGTCCTTTTATTTCCAGCTTTTCCAGAAGAGCTTACACATGCAAAAAAAAAATCCCAGCACCCACACACCTGCCAACCACACCATTGTAATACTATAGGAGCTTTAACTTAGGCACCTATGGTATTGAGAGTTTCCTCTGTGGATCCATAGTGGGAAATAGCCCACACTAGAGGCTTTGTGAGAAGACCTAATTCTAACAGTGACATCTGTTACTGCCCTCCCATGACTGAGCAATCTTATCAACAGACAATGTGATAGGAGTTGTGTTTTATGAAATCCAGCATATCTGCTGCTGCTGCAGCAAGGACAACACAAGATGCTGTTTCTTGTCTTATTTAAGAAAAAGAAAAAAGGCCCTCCTTTTTAATAATTGCAGGCACTTTAATGTTCCTCTCTCTTCCCTTAGGTATAAAGGTTTATATACATAACTAACCTAGGTTTTCATCCGGCTGTATTGCTTGACTGACCATCAAACCCATCCTCTCAGGATTTATTTATTTGAAGACTGAAGAAAATAACTTACTGCTCATCCCATACCCTCACCTTTCTTGGCAAAGAATAGTGAAGAGTAAGCAACTGCTTTATCATAGCTTCCTCTCTAGTGATCAGTTGTTTCCCATTGGGTTTTTGTCTTTGCCCACTTGGACCTCATACTTTGATTCATTGTGGTTGTGCAGTCACTCATCTCTCATAGTGAGTCAGGCAGTGCAGCACAGTGTCAGGAAAGAGGTTATTCTGGGCTTTGGTTTACTGTGTGTGCAGCTGAGTACAGCTGGCAAGCCGGGCTCAGGCGTCGCCCTTTGGAAAGATGACCACCATCTGCTCCAGTCATGTAGACTTACTATAGCCTGGTTTCTCAGTTACAATGAAGTTACTATAGGAACCCCTTCCCTTAAAAAAAAAAG